ATTGACGATATCATTACAAAATGAACAAATTTGAGAGTGGTCCACATGTAGTACCTATATATGTAATATCAAAGCAATTGCACTTGCGGTTTTTAACAAAAAGTCGAAAATATCACTTTTTACCAAAAAAGTTCACCAAAATTAGAGAATTGACGATATCATTACAATATGAACAAATCTGAGAGATCCACATGTAGTATACCTATATATGTAATATCAAAGTAATTGGACTTGCGGTTTTTAACGAGAAGTCGAAAATATCACCTTTTACCAAAAATGACAAAAATATTCACCAAAATTAGAGAATTGAAGATATGATCATGAAATGAACAAATCTGAGAGAGGTCTACCCAAGGTACATATACACCAAGTATCAAAGCATTCAGGCTTGTAGTTTTCAAGAAGAAGTCGAAAAAGTAAAACATTGACACGGATGACGACGGACAATCACTCGTATGATAAGCTCCGCTCGACAAAGTCGACAGCGGAGCTAAAAAAGATGAACTAGGAGATGGGCAATATCATGCAAAATGCACCTGTATTTTGTTTATGACTACATCATTCATTGTCATTTAAAAAATCTTCCAAATTTATTTTGACTACACAGATCAATTGAATGGTCGTTTACGCATTTACACCACTGAAAAGTATCATTGCTAGTAGATATTTCACATGTGTAATTTAAAACTGTGACCAAACTGTAAACCCATCAGTTGCACAATGAAAACTTGTCCATTGCCTTCTCCATAGCATCTCCGTAAACTGAATTTTCTTGATTTCATGAAAATGGTATTTTGGTAGCCTCTTCCAGAACCATAGCAGCTGTTGCATAGAAAACAAGCATGTCATTCATGTCACTTTCTGTAAATTTGTGTGTTGTATTAAGTGTATGCAGTGTCATTTTTAATTCAGTCTGTCAGTGGAAGGAGACAAATTACAATGCTAAACATTCCAATTTGTAAAATTGTTTGGTGGATTTGTAGGTTAAAAGAACTATCAACAATGTTCTATATATCTGCACTCTCCTTCCCAATGACATTTAGGCACTACACTGATCTGAAAACTAATATAAAGGTTATTACGAGTATAGTGCAAAGTATGCACGAAGACAGTACAGTATTGAACGAAGTGCAGTGGAGGATGATGCGACCATGTACTGTCTTATTATCTTTTCCACCAGGGATAATTCATGGGAAAGCTGAAATCCAAAACGTTTAAAACAGATTTAGCGAACTTCTTTGTGTGTGGTCCGGTCAAACCCTGGGGGCAGCCATGTTTGTTTTTATTATTAGAGGATGCTTATGCGCGTTCTATATTTGCAATTTGCGTTTCCTAATATGGTTGAATGAAAATACCAGATTTATAATAATAGACTAAGTATGTATCTTCCCATGTTGAATTATATGTACCCCTCACAGGACCAGGGACTCTTTGGTTTAAAATGTCCCACAGTACAGGTTTTTGAAGAACAATGCATTTTACATGTGATGTACAAATCGCATGGGACCCATGCTGAATAATGGCATCTTCAAATTAGTAGGATTGTATTGACTCCCATGTGCGAAGCACACAATGGGAGTCTTTGCAGTTAGTGTGTCTGTATGTGTATGTATGTGTGTTCGTCTGTTTCACTGATATCTAAAGAACCAGCTCTCATTGGATTTTGATAAAACTTGGTACATAGATGCTCTGAACTTATGCGCAGATTTGATTAGTTTTTCGGTAAAATTCTGTGCTTATTAATTACTAATTTGCATGATAATTAGCCAATTTTTAGCTGTTCCATGACTGTTCCACTGATATCTAAACAACCACTCATTGGATTTTGATGAAACTTGGTACATAGATGCTCTGAACTAATGCTAGGTTTTGATTAGTTTTTGGTAAAAATCTGTGCATAATAATTACCTAATTTGCATAATTATTAGTCAATTTTCGTTTTTTCCAATGATGTCTCAAGTACTAATCATCACATTTCAATGAAACTTGGTACATAGATGTCATAGGACACTGCACAGACCTGATAATTAGTAATACATATTAATTACCTAATTTGCATAATTAATTAATTTTCAGCTTTTGATATTTCAAGTAGTAAGCATTACATTTCAATGAAACTTGATACATAGATACTCAAGGACTATGCAGAGATTGATTGTTTTGGGATAAATATTTGTGTATATTAATCACCTAATTTGCAAAATTACTGTAAAATACTTTATTTCCGCTTGGAATTTATTTTCGCTGAAGGTGTGATTCAGTGAAAATATAATCCAGTGAATATACCTTTTTTCCTATATTTCACATTCAACTCATCAAAAATAATTGAAAATAAATTCCATAAAAAACACCAAAAATTTAATTTCAGCTAAAATAAAGTATTTTACAGAAGTTAATTTTCAGCTTTTCCACAGATATCTCAAGTACTAATCATCACATTTCAATGTAACTTGGTACATAGATTCTCTATGACTATGCAGAGACCTGATAGGTTTTAGGGCAAATAATTGTGCTTATTAATTACCTAATTTGCATAATTAATCATTTTTCAGCTTTTCCACTGATATCTCAAGTACTGATCATCACATGTCAATGAAACTCTGTACATGGATGCTGTAGGACAATAGTCAGACCTGATTAATTGTGGGTTAAAATCTGTACATATTAATTATCTAATTTGCATAATTAACCAATTTCAAGCTATCACACTGATATCTAAATTATTCCATTTCAATGAAACTTAGTACAAAGATGCTCTAGGACAATGTACAAACCTGATTAGTTTGGGGTTAAAATCTGTTCATATTAATTCCCTATTTAGCATGATAATTCATAATTTGTTGTTTCATAGATGGTCTGTTACATTGCGCAGACCTCAGAGTTTCACACTCAAATCTGTTAATATAAATTTTCTGATTTGCATAATTAGTTTTCAGCTATTCCATCAATATCGCAAATACAAGTAATTTTGAATTATTTTTAA